TGAGGGTAGTGGGCTAAGGTCCAAATTCACAATGAGGCACACGCATGGATGATGATATTTGTAAATTCAGCATCTTACCTCACAGAAATTAAAATACACAATAATGGATGTGCAAGTGTATGAATTCTGTTATTGGGATCCTTAAAAGCAGTTGCCACTAAGTCAGGATTTCTACTATTCATATCTTTAGTCTTTTATGAATTTAGAAACTTCTGGGTATCTTTCCAGAATCCAGAGGATTATCCAAGTATAGTTTACAGAAATGGTCAGCAAGGATGGCTAACTAAAGATAGAAGTCTTCAAGAGAGTGAGCATGCTTTCTCATATGAGTAAAGCGAGAATTACACCTGTCCTTATGTTTGAGGGTAAGGAAAGGCCAAGTCCCTGGTGTTGGGTTTGGATCTGCTCACTTCCCTTCTTTTTTTCTTTTACTTTTCTCAGTCTCTGCTTTTGCTCTGTGCAGATCCCAGACTCACATGAAAAGCTTATGTTGATTCTTGTGGAGTTGCTTTGAGATCTACATGTGTTAAGAAAAAGGTACCACTAACTCAGAAGGTCTATCTGGAGCAGCACTGGCATAGAATGAAAGACTACTATTAATGTCAGGCTGAGTCAGGGAAACAGAGATGCTTCTTCCTCTGGGAACAAAAGGGAGGTTCCTGAGAGCCATTCCCTTGGAGATCCCATCTGAACAGGATCATCGAGAGCTGTCAGCTCCTCCCAGCTCTCTTGGTGCTGTATTATCATGCCTGGGAGGGAACTGCACAATCATGTATCACATCCTCCCAGCTGCAAGATTAGAAAGACTTTTTGAGACAGTTCTTCCGCCTTATACCCCGACTTTGTTAACAGTCATCACTTTAATCCTGGGCTAATGGGGCAAATTTCCACAAGTGAGGATTACAGCTGCTGTGGCTCCACAGTGACAAGCAACGCTCTCTCCCTCCGCCCCTCACCCCAGCCCTCGGTGAGCCGTGCAGGGAAGGGACTGCCCTTTCTCTCCACTTGATTGCAGGGAGGGGGTCACTGTGAACGAAGGTGCCTCTTCCCTGCGACCACTAATGCCGAGGCTCCGTGCTCCCCTCACGCCTTCTCCACTGCTGGCAGCCGCGCAGAGATGCTCCTGCTTACCTGTGCCCCATCCCCGCCAGGATACCCAAGGTCTCCCACTCCCGTTGCCCTTCACAAGGAGCACGTGTCTTAGCGGTGCCAGGTCTCCAGCCCCTGCTCCTCCCTCCCGCCATTTGCTGCCCGAAACCCCTTAGCGCTGCTGTGCCTGCAGGTCACAGGGCCACTGCTTCAGCTCCAAACGCCTCCGTGTCTGCGCTAAGCATGCCAGTAACAGCCAAACACACACAAGAGCTCCTTGTCTTTTCCTTGCCCTATCCGTGCTCCTTGGGAGATGTTAATATCTTGCCTGGGCTGGGACATTCAGATAAGTCCTCCTTATTTCCCAGTTCACCAAGAAAACCATCTGGGCCAAGTTCCTTGTGACTGCCCCCATGGCTGTGTGCCGGGGCCAGCCAGGTTCCCAGTCTGTATCTTCCTCATTATCTTTTTTCCCAGAAAGTGTTTCTCTCTGAGACCCACTGACTGTGCGAAACGTCTTGCCCCAGAAGGTAGTTGCTGGTATGCTATGATCCCAGTAAGACACGCAGATTCTGCAACATATCATCTGAAATACCATTTCTTAAAGCTAAGGCTATAAAGAAAGAGAGAAGAGTATAGGTAATATTATGTCCTCTCAGATTCGGGGAACCCCAGGTTGTGCACATCGAACAAGCCTCCAGTCAGCATGCAGTGTATTACAATGCACGTGTTCCAGTGCTGGCTGGGATTGTCCTGTGGCCAGCATTTGTGCAGCCCAGCATAGGCCTGAAGGGTGATTTGTATGTGCTGTACAGTGCCTCCTCGGCTTAACTGCTATGTGCATGGACCACTAACTCCTCAATGTCCCCTTGCTGTCCCAAATCTAGGTTCTCTGTCCAGTGCACAAGAGCCAATCAACACATCAAGCTGAGATATTTGCTTTTATTTTGATTCTGCAGAAACCAGGTGCCAGGCATCTAAAACAATCAGCACATCTTCCAAGAAACAAATGAAGTCTTGTATAAAATATAGTAACAAAGAAGAATTTACAATAAAATACCTGATCGGTTGCCTATGTTTACATAACAGAAATCTCTCTATGCATGTCTAAACACCCATTGAGCTCATTATACTAAGGTGGTTCTACATTTAAATGTAAAATCTCCTCCTAGGGGTGTGGTTTTTAGTATCAAAATAACCTAAGGTAACTAGAGCTTATACATTAATCCCATTAGCTACTATCAGGATCCTGCTTATCTTATGTCCTGCTATAAATTCTGCTTTTGGGCATTAGTTTTTACAGTCTTTTGCTTTCAGACAATAGTAAATTACAAGGTTCCATTGCATCTGTTTCTGGAAGCTTTCTATTTTTGTTGTCATAGTGCCAAATTAAACTGCCAAGGTTGCCCAGTTTTGCAGATCTTTTTACTTTCATCATCAACCCCATCAAGATCACTAGAGCAGAGAATGCACATCCCTCCTTCCCTTCCTTATTCTATCTCCCCTCACATCTCCCTCACTCCTCATTCATTTCTTTGTCTCATTCTCACCCCCTCTTTCTGTGCCCTCTGGCAAACCCCCTTGCAGGGGTTTAGAAGTTGATCCAAATTTATTTTTCAATACCTACATTTATATAGAATAATCCTGAATGGATCCTATTCTTGTAACAAGAGGAAGAGGCTTTTCCTCTTATTTAAATTTAGGGATGAGGTTTATTAGTTGAAACATGGGTGTTTACTATTATTTTAGATGTCCTGTCATTTCCGAGGTAGACATATGATGCCAATATGTATAGCACAAGATCTATGGGAGACAGATATATTGGGTTTTCTCACCTTTGCGGGAACCACTCACAAGTGCTAGGGCTTTTTACTGCAAATGGCCCTCCTGTCCAATGTTTTGACAACTAAGTAAAGGCTCTGTTCAGTATTGGAAGAGTTCAGACCACTGACCTGTCCAAAGACCTGAGGTTTTATATACCTCTCTTTAGGTGTCTGACAGATTAGTCACAAACCAGGCACTTACCATCTTCTCCCTCACATTTCACACAACTGCATTTGCTCATAAATTCTTCCAATAACCTCCTGCCCCTGACTTCTCTGGATGTGCATCCATGCATCCCAGCTACTAACTCATTCATCTCTTTCCCTCCCTGATTCCCTGTATGGTCACTTTTATTCTTCCATTCACTCCTACTACCACTAACTACAGCCCTATCCAACTACACCATGCTCCTCACACAAATCTATGCATTCCTCTACCCATCCTCCCAGACCATGCTTCACCTGCCCTGTTTGTCCACCCCTCTGCCCATTTCTTCTTCTATCAACATTGATACTGGTGTTCTCCAGGTACAATTATCAATGCTCAGACCTAAACTAATTCTGTGCCTTGTGTATCAGGCTTTGACCCATCATTGCTCCCACCTTCCTTGTGCTCTAATCTGAACTAAGCACCACCACGTCGTTGAACCAATAGGCATTTTTAACAACTGCAATTCTCCTTCCAGGCTTGACTCCTACTAATCTACTACCAGGCTGGTGAAAGAGGGAGAAAAAGGATCCTGAGGATGTGAGGCAGCAAAGAGTAATCATGGCCCATGTATGGGGGGAGAGGAGGGGGGGGGAAGCTATACATCTTGGAAGAAGGGAAGATGGAGGTGTCAAATTTTTTTTCCACGAGATCCTCTTAGCTCACTTTATGCTCTTTCCCACACAGAAGATGTCTCAACCAAAAAGTCAAGATGAGGAAAAGTAGCATCTTGAGCAAACAATATATGTGTAGGGGTGAGTTGGGGCCAGAAGGGTGGCATCTGTGAGCAGTGGGGAAATTTTTAACTGGAAGAGCAATGTGGGAAGGAACTGATTTCTTGGGTGGTTGACAGGGACGCACATCTCACCATGTTCTTGAAACTCAGAGGCATAGCTGGTAGTCAGCCTTCATTTTATGTGGCTGGCACAAGTTTTTGTAAGTGTGAATCACCTCACCCATAGTGCTGAAGGTTTTCCAGGGAAACCATCACAAAGTGGGTATGATGATGCAGAAGAGATGTCTACTGCTGTTGGATGGGGGGCAACACTTTGCAGTGCTGTGATATCACCTCTACTGTGGTGCTAAATCATCTCCTGTGTAATTGTGTAACCTAGGTACACCATTTGATTGCTGAGTTGCATCATCCCCTCCAGGTGAACTATACCGTCTTCTGTACACCATCCCCTTCCAAGACATTACAGCAAACTCTGTGAAGCCCTATGCCCTCTTTTGCTAAGTGTTACTCTATTCCTACCGCAGTGTTACACCATTCTTGACTAAGACATTACTCCAACATATTTTACCATTAGGTTTGATTCACCACCAAACCTTGCCCTAATGTGAGATGCTCTTCATGTCAAAGCAAGAGCAAAGGCATGGAGAAGGTTGCCTTTCCATGGGCTGCTGTCATAGCAGGAAGAGAGGTCAATCAAAGCTGTCTTCCAACCAAATTGTTGGCCTCAAATAAACTATACACTACAGAGATGACAGGTGAGAATAAGAAGTCAGTGAGAAACACCTCCACTGCTGACAATGAAAAGGAGATAAGGTGACTTCCTATGACTCTTCCTTTGATACTGTTATAAGTTCCCTTGGTTTGATGTCCGGACCCCTCCCTTCCAGTAGTCCAAAGTGAGTAGTAAATCTGCTTAAGTTTAAAATCAAGCTCATCTCTTTGGAGCATTAGTCTCAAAGCAGGTGGTCTAGGGGAAACATTTTGACAATCTCAGGAAACTTCCATTGCTATTTGTCAGCTTCTGCAACTGGCATTTCTGTGGCAGGTTTGGACACACAACTGTTTCCCATTGCAATCAGACACCTCAAGTGTAAAGTTTCCTACATGCAATCAGGGAGTTTGACAGCTGCTGTGTCTTCCTCAGGCTTATTGCAGAGAAGGATATGGTTCTTATCTTCCTATCCTGAAGTGGAGCTGGAAACTGTGGCAGTAAATGTAACCATCCAGGACTTTGTGACCGATGTGGTGTCTGAGCTGTATTTCCGCAATGTGCAGCAAGTCTCTAAGGAGACTGTGTTCATCTTTCCTGTGGACTCTGACACTGTTGTACACACCTTCTACACTACGATGGGGGACACTTCTATTAAAGCAATGCTCTGGGAGAAGGAGGAGGCACTGGGGCTGCAGTGGGAGAGGATGGTCTGCAGTTTGGGATGAAGGGTGAAGGTGAGAAAATGGAATCATATGGAGACCTCAGTGATGCATTTTGCTCCCTCTGTGGTAGGTCCAGCAGCTGTGCAAAGCCACTTCAGGCATGGAGAATTTAAGATACCTGCAGGATCAGTGGGATCTCTGGGGTCCTGTGTTCGCTTGTTTCTTGGAGACCCTGCCTCCTGACTGGGAAGTGGCCATCAGCTTGTGCTATGTCCAGGAGCTACGACTGCAGCCTGATAAAGCTGCCCAGTTTTGCTGGCCACGTGAGCTGTTTCCCCAAAGAAAATACACTAGTGAGTGATCCTCCAGATGCATCCCCAAGGGGATGAAACACATCACACCTCAGCATCCTTCTGGGGGGGAAACCCCAAACACCCTCTATCTCCACACATTCCTTAGTGAAATAATCGGAATATTACCCCTTACATCTCACAGTCAGTACCGCCATGGATCTCCTCATATATTCCACAACAAGAGATCCCCAAAGATCCCCATAGAAACCACAGCACAAGTCTACAGATTCACCACCACCCCTCTCCCTCCCCCGCCACTAAGCACCACAGTAAGGGACATCTCAGATGCCACAATAACAGACAGTGCCCCACCATAGCTGTCTGCTGTCTCTTCTTTCACCTTCTCACATCTCTTTCTCGCTGCAGACTGGATCTCTTCTGAGGAGATGTCTGAGAACCTGCACTTCAGCATCTGTCTGAAGTCAGTTTGTGGTGTGTCCCATATAGCCACTAACAGCAGCCATACGCCTCTGCAATATACGGCTCCAGATCAGACATCTGCCCCGCCAGATGATAGAGCCCAAAAGGGAAAAAGGGAGGAAGGATCTGCAGTCTACTGGTGCTCCTTAGGACTCCTGAATCTTTTTATCTGGTTGTCTTTCCTCCCCATGCTCTACTTGTCCTCAGGTCTCCTTTAAATTGCCACCCTGGTTGCAGAACAATCTGAACTTGCTGGTGTATTACAGAGGGTCTCACGTTCTCAGTGCTGTAGCGGAGAGGAGAGATCCCAAAGCACCATCTGGTGAGCAAGGATGAGGGTGGGAGTGGGCATTAGGGAGAGGATGTCAGAAATCTGAGAGGGTTTTAAGGCAATAAGTCAGAGCTTAGGGCTATAGGTCAGAAACAGGGAGGGGGGCTCCAACCTAAAAATCCTCCTTGTTTCCCTCCACACACTCCAGGCTTTCTGCTGGGAGACCCTGTGGTAATGGTGACGCTGATGCCCAGCATTTCAGAGGTGGTGCCAAGTTCAGGCCAGCTTGGGGAATTCCTCTTTCTCATGGACCATAGCCTTTTCCAGGATGCACAGGTACCACTGGAAGAGGTCTTCAGGAGGGATTTTCCACACTGGTCATGCCCAGTTGGTGGGGACAGAGGCAAGCTGCTTCATGTGGGCAGATGCCTAGCTTCCCCATCTGAGTTTTGCCCATCCCTCCATCTGTCTCCAGAATACACTGCTCTTCCTCCTCAAGAGTTTGCCTCTGGGCTGTTACTTCAACATCTACAGTTTTGGGCCCACTTTCAAAGCCTTCTATCCGTGAGTTGGGGTGTTGATGAGACAGGGCCAAGGGGTAAGTAAAGTACGACTTTTCAAAGTGAAACTATGGGACAAGCTCTTGCTGGAGGGCAGTTATGGGACAGGTTATGTTTGGGGCAGTGAGAGGTTAAGTCCTTTTCTCAGGGTGCACTGGTAGTGAGGTAGGGCTTTTCTAGGGAGTGGCCATGTTAGGGTGGCCATGAGCCAGGTTACCTCTGCTTTGACACCCTGGGTGCTCTTCCACAGGCAGAGTGTGGAATATGCTCAGGAAAGCATGGACAATGCAGTGGCCTCCTAAAGTCTATCTACAGCACTCCTCTCCTTTGTGGGCAGACTCGCCAGGTATCAGGGGCCATAGGATTATAAGGAGAGGAATGGGTGTAAACAGTGGGGTAAAGAAAGACTTCAGGGCTCAGGGTGAAATATTCTGCTGCTGTTTGCACTGGGAGTTGGCATGTGGGGGGTGCCTTTGTGGCAGAAAGGGAAAGTGTCTTTGGGATGGGCACCGTGAGAGGGCTTCTGTGGAACTTGCCTGCACTTGGTGAAGGTGGATCTTCCTTGTGGGGTGCCCTTTTTTTGCTAAGGAGTTTCCTGGTGATATTGAAAGGACACACACAATCTCATTTTTCCTGTTTCAAGGCCATGGTGGGGAGAGAGTAAGGGAGCAAGCTGATAAGGCTTCCTGCATTTTAGGAGAGTGTTTTTCCTCTATGGGCATGCCCAGCCCTGGCAGTCTTTGTTTCCCCTCCTCTTTTCCTCAGCCTTTCTTCTTCATCCAAAGATCTCCAGTGAAGAGGAAGCTGTCATGGCTGAGGTCTACCGTTACCGTGACCAGCACTGGTAACAAGGGAGCCCTGTTTCTGTCTCCTAACACGCTAATTCACAACATTCCTCTTCCCCCGGACTGTCAGAGTCCTTCAAACATTCTCCCAGATACTAGTCTGCCCCAGATTTTCTCTTTACCTTGATGGAGCTTCAGCAACAACCCCCCCACACACTCTTCATCTATCGAGCCACCTCTCCCAAACCTTTCCTGCTCTTCTCAGAACTTTTCCTCTTTCCCCTCACCCTGCAGTACCTCAACGTGCTCTGTGGGCCTCAAACCCATTCTCATGACCTCCATGTCCAGCAGGCAATGTCTGTCATCCCAAAGTGAATGGGAAAACTCTGAGTCAATTTCATTTCTATGGTTAGAAGCATTCTTACCTCTCCAGACTTTGTGCTTTGTACCACTCTTGTCCTTCATGCCTCTCACCTTTGTCCCTCTTTTACTTTACAGGTGTTTCTGTTTTCCTACTAACAGATGTGACAGCTTCAACCTTTCCCAGGCCATGGCCCTGGAGACCAAAGGTGTGTGCATCCTCTAAGATGGACATGACATCTGAGGTAACGACCGAGGTAACCTGCTGCTCTGTACAATAACTCCCACGGCTCTCCTAGACATGCAAGGCAATCCAAATACTATTATCCACTCCAGCTCAAAGTCCCCCTCCAACTTCCCTGCCCACCCAAAACTGAGAGGGAACCCAAGTGGTCTGTGCTCTCTGCTTCCTCTCACCAGGCAGTGAAACGCCTGCAGCGGGCTCTGCAGCCTCTGGCAAGTGGGATCTTACTACATTGGGGCCTTCCACCTGGCCTGGAGGTGTCAATGATCAGAAAAGCTCCTGAGATGATCTTCCAGGGACATCAGAGCTCCATCTGTGCCCAAATCCATGGGCAAGCACAGGTGAGAGTGAGCCAGGAACTATATGCACTGGGACAGGGCTTTCTAGAAGGTAAAGAGCCCACTCCCTGTTTCACCTTCCCAGTCTTTTACCTCCACTAGACCTGAGAGAGTCCACAATCAGGGCTCTGTGAACTCCCTTCTTTCCCCCAGAGACACTACTGCTTCTGCTCCAACCATGGACATCTACTACCTCAACAGAGCAGGGAGGGAACCTAGGTAGCCAGGCTGCTTGTGCCTTGCAGGTGAATATTTCTTTCTGAC